TCTGGTGTCTCTCGTCCTCACTGAGGACTCTGGTGTCTCTCGTCCTCACTGAGGACTCTGGTGTCTCTCGTCCTCACTGAGGACTCTGGCGTCTCTCGTCCTCACTGAGGACTCTGGCGTCTCTCGTCCTCACTGAGGACTTGGCTGATCTTCGTGTCTTTGTCTCCTCAGGGACCGTTGATGGACTTCTCGAAGCGCAGTCGCAGCGGTAAGTTTCGTCTCGTCCCAAAGTTCAAGAAGGACAAAAACAACAAGAACAAAGAGACGTGTGCCACCCTGTTCCTGCCAGGTGAGCCCCGCCCCTCTGCCAGCTGTCTCCACCTGGTCCAATATCACGGGTTAAAGGTGTCTTTCTCTGTCTTTCCACCACGTCTTGTCTGTCTGGACCACTTCCTGTCTGTCTGGACCACTTCCTGTCTGTCTGGACCACTTCCTGTTGGTGTCTCAGTTCACCAGTGGGGGACTGAAGAGGTTGGGGCTTGGCTGGACAGTCTCTGTCTCTCTGAGTATAAGGACATCTTCATGAGACACGATGTCCGTGGAGCTGAGCTCATCCACCTGGAGAGGCGGGACCTGAAGGTATCGCTGCTAGCTAAAGGCTAAATGCTAACCGAGCCTGTACACGCTGGACTCGCTGCTAGTAAAAGGCTAACCGCTAACTGCTAACCTAGCCTGCACACGCTGGACTTGCTGCTAGCTAAAGGGTAAATGCTAACTGCTATCCGAGCCTGTACTCGCTGCTAGCTAAAGGCTAACCGAGCCTGTACATGCTGGACTTGCTGCTAGCTAACGGCTAACTGCTAACCGAGCGTGTACACACTGGACTCGTTGCTAGCTAACGACTAACTGCTAACCAAACCTGTACATGCTGGACTAACTGCTAGCTAAAGGCTAACTGCTAACTAAGCCTGTACATGCTGGACTCGCTTCTAGCTAAATGTTAACTGCTAACCGAGCCTGTACATGCTGGACTCGCTGCTAGCTAAAGGCTAACCGAGCCTGTACACGCTGGACTCGCTGCTAGCTAAATGCTAACTGCTATCTGAGCCTGTACACGCTGGACTCGCTGCTAGCTAAAGGCTAAATGCTAACTGCTAACCAAGCCTGTACACACTGGACTCACTGCTAGCTAAAGACTAAATGCTAACTGCTAACCAAGCCTGTACACACTGGACTCACTGCTAGCTAAAGGCTAAATGCTAACTGCTAACCGAGCCTGTACACACTGGACTCGCTGCTAGCTAAAGGCTAAATGCTAACTGCTAACCGAGCCTGTACACGCTGGACTCGCTGCTAGAAGACAGATGTTTGTTTAGCTTCAGTCACAGGTCTGTAGAGTTCAGGATGAAGAGTCTCGTTAACCCTCCTCTTCCTCGTCTCGTCTTCAGGACCTTGGGGTGACGAAGGTGGGTCACATGAAGAGGATCCTGCAGGGCATCAGGGAGCTGACCAGAACCAGCTGCACCAGCGAGGCCTGACTGAAACCAGGTGACTCTTAATCTCCAGTCATCAAGAAACCTGGACCTGGTCCTGGTCCTGGTCATGGTTCTGGTCTGGCCTCTGATTCTTTGTTTTTGTTCTCTTGTTACCTAGCAACGGCTGCCTGCTCTCCTCCTACTTCTGCTGCTACTCGCCACCTCGTCCAGCTGACCTTTGACCTCCTGAACAGAGCCCTGTACTGGACCAGAACCAGGACCAGTTCTCCAGAACCTGGTTCCCAACTGGAGCCAGAACCAGTTAGATGATCCGTCAGTGCCTTCACATCTGACCCAGCATCCGAGGACCAGAGGAACCTTCAGATTTGGATCCAGAGTCCCAGCACCAGACCACAGACCGGATCTGTTCTTTTAGTTTTAGACTTTTTCTTGATTTGTTTTTTTAATCGGCTCAGATGAAGATCAGTTGATCCATCAGAACCAGGTGGTCCAGGGACTGGATCAGTGGACCTGCTTCAGGAAGCAGAATCAGGACTTAAGTGGTCCTTCGTTACCCAGAGACCCAACTGACCCATCAGAGCCTCTTTCGGTCTTTCCTGTTGGACCAGGACCCAGCAGAACCCTTTAAACAACAGCTCAGAGGAATTTAGACTTTAAACTTCCCTCACCTGCCTGACACAAGTCAGGTGTCCCAAAACAGGAAGCAGTGTAAAACAGGAAGTGATGGTAAACAGGAAGTGATGGTAAACAGGAAGTGATGTAAAACAGGAAGTGRTGTAAAACAGGRAGYGRTGTAAAACAGGAAGTGATGTATCTGATGGTCAGATCATCTGACTAAAACTGCTTCAAGTTAAAGCAAACAGTTGAACAGACCCAGTCCTGACCTGTTGGGTTTGAACACTCGTCAGCTGTCAGGACAGCTGATGGAACCAGAACCAGCCCAGATCCCAGACCTGGTCTGTTGAAGCACTGACTGTGATGTCGGAGTGTCCCTGAACGCACCAGCAGCACTGATGACCAATCAGCATCACTGACAGGAGATTTAAATGTTTACTCAAACATGTTGCCTTAAAGATGGGTCAGCACCAGACCCACAACCTTCAGCTGTTCCTGGATCAGTTCTGTGTGGTCCAGCAGGGACTTCCTGTTGAGAGCAGGGACTTCCTGTCATTGATCAGGGACTTCCTGTTGAGAGCAGGTACTTCCTGTCATTGATCAGGGACTTCCTGTTGAGAGCAGGGACTTCCTGTCATTGATCAGGGACTTCCTGTT